AAGCGCTCACAGTTACAATTACTGTTCACACTGAACTAACTACTTTGCTAACAAACTTTGATCAAAAATCCACAGTTGTTTAAAGCCTGCTGGATTTTAAAAGGGGGGGCCCCCCTTTAGGGGGTTTTTTTTTCCCCAAAAGGGGAAAAAAAAAAAAAGGGGAAAAAAAATTGGGGACCAATTTATTTCGGAAAATTTTCCCCCCAAATTTTTTAAACCCCTTTTTTTTGGGGCCAAGGGGGGTTAAAAAACCCCCAATTGGGTTTAAAAGGGTTTTTAAACCCTTTTTTAAAAACATTTTTAAAATTTTTAAAAATGAAAAAAAAAGGGAAAACCCTTTTTTATGGAATTTTTCCCCCCCTTTTTTTAAATAAATACAACCTTTTTTTAAAAAAACCATGGGGGGTTTTTTTTTAAAATTTTTATTTGAACCTTTTTTAAAAAAATTTTTAAAAAAACCAAAATTTAAAAAAAAAAAATTTTTTCCCCTTTAAAATTAAACCGGGGAAGGAAATTTTTTCCTTTTTTTTTAAACCCCCTTTTTTTGTAAATGGGGGTTTTATGAAAAAAAAAAAATTTTTTAAAAAAAAAATTTTTTTTGGAAAAAGATTTAAAAAAAGAAAAAATTTTCCCCTTACCCCCCTTAAAATTTGCCCCCTTTGGGAAAAAAGGGGGAAAAAAGGTAAAAATGTAAAGAAAAATTTTTAAAAAAACCCCGGGTTTCCCCCATGAACCCTTAAAAAATTTTTATCGGGAACCGAAAAAAATTTTTGTTGAAAATTCCCTTTTAAAAATTAAAAACAAAAACCCACCCATTTTTTTTTAAAATTAAGGGGAGTTTTTTTTTTCCAAAAACCCATTTTGGGTTTTTTAAAAGTTTTTTAAAAAACCCCCATCCCTTATTTTTAACAAAGAACCACCCCAATCACCCAAAAAAACCAAAAAAAAATGGCTTTTTTTCCCCTTAATGGGTTTTTCGGTTTTGGGAAAAAAGGCCCCAATGGTTAAAAAACCTTTTAAACCGGGGGGCTAAATTTTAAATTTTAAAACTTCCAAATTTTTCAAATCCCTTTTTGGGGTTGATTTTTTATTTTTTTTAAAAAGTTTTTTTTTTAAATTTTTTGGGAAAAATTTTTTAATTTTAAAAAATTTGGGTTTTTTTTTGGGGATTTGGGGGTTTTTCCCCAAAACCCTTCCTAATGGTTAATTTCCCCGGGGTTTTAAAAAGGGGTTTTAAGAAATGGCGGGTTTTTTTTAAAATTTTTTTTTTGAAAAAAAAAAAAAGGGGTTGAAAAAAAAAAATTTTATAAGGGGTTCCCCTTACCCCAAAAAAAATTTTCTAATTTTTAAAAATTTAAATGACTTTTTGGTTTTTTAAAAAGGGAAAAACTTTTTAAGGGCCCCTTTCCCCCCAAAAAAAGTTTTTTCCAAGGGGGGGAAAGGCTAATTTGGGGCCCCTTTTTTTCCCCCCTTTTTTGGGGGTAATTAAATGGTTTTTTTTTTTAAAAAAAAAGCTTGGGTTTTTTAAAAAGGCAAATTTTTAAAAAAAGGGAAAAAATTTAAAAAAATTTTTTGGGGGTAACAATAAAGGACAGGGGCCCCCCCAAAAGGAAACCCCCTTTTTTTCACCCTTTGATTTTTTGAGCCCTAATTAAAAAAGGTTTTGGGGTTTTACCGGGGAAAAAGGAATTTTTTTTTTTTGGGGGAAATATTAAAAAAGATACCTGAAGGGAAAATAAAAAAAAAGGGGCAATGGGGCTTCGGGGGAGAAACCCTTTTTAAAAAGGGGAAAAAAAAAAAAAAAGGGAAGGGGTTTTTTCCAAAGAAGGAATTGCCCCCCGGGTTTCCCCCTTTTAAACCCTTTAACCCTTTTCCTTTGGACATGAAAAAATTTTTTAATTTGGGTGCCCCTTTTTTTTGGGGGTTTATTCCCCCGGGAAAAAACCCTTTTTTCCTTTATTTAAAATTCTTTTTAAATTTTTTTTTTTTTTTTTTTAAAACCTTTAGGAGGGGTTTTTTCCCCCCGGGTTTTTTTCCCCTTTAAGTTTGCAATAAAAAATTTTTTTTTTTAAATTTTTAAATTTTAAAAAAATTTTTTAATCGGAGGGGGGTTTCAAAAATAAATTTTAAAACTTTTTTTTAAAATTTATTTGTTTTTTTTGGGGGTTTAAAATCTTTATTAATACGAAGGGCCTATTTAAAAAACTTTATCAATAAACCCTTTTTTAAAAGTTTGTTGTTTTGGGTTTTAAAAAATTTTTTAGTTTTTTAATATTTAAAATAAGGGTTTTTAAAAAACCCCAAACCCCCAAATTTTTTGGAAGCCCCCAAATAAATTAACCCAAAAGGGTTTTTTTCCAAAGCCCCCTTGGGGGAAAAAATTAAAGTCATAACCCTTTTTTAAAAATTTTTTAAAAACCCATAATTTTTAAAAAAAGGGTTTTAAATTTTTTGGCTCCATTCCCCCCTTTTAAAGTGTTTTTTTTAAAACTTGAATAAAAAAATTTTAAAAAAATGGCCCAAACATGGGCCCAGTTCATTTTTTAAAAAAATTTTCCCCCCCCCAAAAAAAAATCAGGGGTTAAGTTTTTTTTAAAAGCCCCTTTTTTTCTTTTTTGGGGGGGTTTCCAAATTTTTTGAAAAAAAATTTTTAAAAACCTGGGGAATTTTGGGGAAAAACAAAATTTTAAAAAATTAAAAAAAAACCCAGAACCAAAAATTCCCATTTTAGCCAAAGGGAAAATTTTGCCCCAAAAAAATTTTTCCCAAGCCCCTAAAACCCCTTTTAAATGAGGCCAAAAATTTGAAACTTTTCCCTTTTTGTAGATTTTCCCCCCTTTCCCCGGGGGAAAAATTTTTACTTTAAAAACCGAAAAAAAAAAAGGGGAAAGGGGCTTTGGGAAACCCCTTTTTTTTCCCCAAATAAAACAATAAACCCCCAAAAAAAAGGTTTTAATAAAAAAAAAGGGCCCCTTTTGGGCCCCATTTTGTTTCTTTTCCAAAAAACTTTTTTTTTAAAAAAAAAGGGGGTTATTTTTGGGCAATTTTTTTTTTTAGGAAAAAAAATTTTTATTAAAAAACTTTAAACCCGGGGGTTTCCCAAAAAGCGGATAGCATTTTGGGTTTTTTTGTCATAACCCCCCCCGGGCCCCTTGGGTTTAATTTTTTTGAAATGGGGGTTTTTTTTTTTCAAAAATTTTGGGGTAAAACCCCCAAAGTTTTCTTAAAAATTTTAATTTTTAAACTTCAAATTTTTTCCAAAACCCAAAAAAAAAAAACCCCGGGGAAAGGGTGAAATCCCCAAAAATTTTTAAATTCGGGGGAACATTTTTCCCCAAAAAACCCTTTTCCCCCCCTTTTTGGTAAAAGATTTTAAAACCCCTTTGGCCAAAAATAAATTTTTTAAAACCCCCTTTCCCAAGATAATCAAATTTTTTTTTTCCTTAATTTTTATTTTTTTTAAAATTGGGCTCTTTTTCATTAATTTAGGGGTTTTTTAACTTTTAAAAAATTTTTTTTAATTTTAATTTTTTTAAAAAGCCCTGCCTAAAAATTTTAAAATTTGTCCCATTTTAACCCTATTAAAAGAAGGCCCCTTTTGGGTTAAATTTTTAAAACTTTAAGGAAGAGATTTTTGTTCCCTAAAAATTAAGGGAAACCCCTTTTTTGCCCGAAAAAAAAAATTTTTTTGGGAAAAGGTTTTTAATCCCACACTTTTAAATTTAGGGGGCCCTTTAAAAGGTGGATTTTAAGAAAACTTAAAAATTTTCGACAAAGGGTTTTTAAACGGGCGGACCCAAACCCCCCCAAAAAAGGGTTCCTCCTATGAGCTTAACCTTTCTTTTCCCGAAAGGGTACTTCGGGGAAAATTCCTGTCCGCGGGTTAAAAATTTAAATTTTTTGGGGTTTTTTTAAAAAAAAGGGGAAAAATTAGGGGAAACTAAACTTTCCCAAAAATTTAAATTTTTCCCCTTCCAGTACACCAACTATGTATTGCCCCGCGATTTTTATGCATGCGGTGCATTCCAAATGGTTGTCGGTGACATGCATGTGGTGTATCACAGGCTACCTGCTGTCGAGTAGTTTGTCGTGTTACGAGGCAATATGTGCCAGGAAAACCGCTTCATACCATGCAGAGTGTCACATGACACCACTACACATCGCTAAGTGGGGACTTGTACGGATGGATGCATTAAACACCGATTATGTTCTACCTGAATTGCGCTAGTAACAGGAGTTTATCCTCATCTGCGGCTTTTCTGTTTAAGCCACCGTACAGTAGTTGTACATGACTAAAATAATGGGGGTGATCATCACCCTTTATGTCGCATTGTCAGCAAACCTTTCTCACAGATACAGGATACTATGTAAATTTCAATGAATAAAACCATAGTGAACTATTTTCTGCTTCTGGGGCTATATTCTGCCCTCATCCTTGCATGGCATTCTATTAATTTCTCTGTATACCCTATTGATATCTATTTTTATTCCCATGTACATTAGTCTTTATTTCTGCTGTGCATATAAAGCACACATATGCTGTATATAGATGCACACTCCCATGCACTTTACCATTCGTTCACACTCTGATTAGATGAGTGCTTTAATTGTCAAAATTTTATGTCTTTTTATAATTGAATTGTTCAAAATAAAGTTTGTTAAAAAGATGCACATTTCTTTTCGATTTATGCTCTATACCTGTACTTGGCATAATGACAACAAATTTGAATATTTAATCTAATATTAACAGTTTCCCATTTCCCCTAAAGCTATGACATCTGCCCTTTTGCCAGTGGGAGTGGGGACAAATCAGCGCTCACAGTTACAATTACTGTTCACACTGAACTAACTACTTTGCTAACAAACTTTGATCAAAATCCACAGTTGTTTAAAGTCCCTGCTGGATTTGACAGTGACAGCACCAGGAGAAATTTATTTCCGGGTGCCATAGGCGTGACAAAATCCGCCATTGCTGAAAGTCCCTATTAAATACACCACTACAACCACGAAGGGACTCGAACCCTCAGTCTTCTGTTCCAAGTCAGACGCTTTATCCATTAGGCCACGTGGTCATTGCATGCCTAAACTGACTCGAACAGTGAGCTGTGAGAACTGACAGCGGTTCATAAATGCCATGTCAAATAACCGCTGTCATGTTAAATTAAACAGCCCTGTCACTGAAAAACTCTCATGCTCAATCACTCTCCAGATCCAAACTCAGGTGTTTAGACCGTATGGTCAGGATGAGCAATGTTAGCCCCCCTGACTGAAGTTTGGAGAGAGTTTTTTCTCAGGTTTCAGTGTAAGTAACAGCAGCAAGATTATGTTAAAAACACCTCCGTCACACAACTATGAACGGACTCAAGTCCTCAATCTTTTGATCCGGAGTAAGAATCCTCCTCCATTAGGCGCCCTTTCATATTAGGTGACATCATTGGGTTGACTTATGTTATTCCCATAAACAAAGCCTTGTGAGTGTTAGTTTCAGGTTTCTGTTGCAGAAACGGTGACCAAGTCATGTTAACAAGCACCAGCTTAAAAGAAAGTTTTTGTCCGAGAAACAGCTGGAAAGTGACATTAACAAGCAGCACCACTAAACATCCATGAATGGTCTCCAACTGTCATTCTTAATACTTGAGTCGGCTAACTTATCCAATATTTGCCCGATGTATTAGTTCACATGGTCAGGTTGAGTTTTGCTTGTCCCTTGACAGTAGTTTTGTGAGTTTTGTCAAGCTTCTCTCTAAAACCACAGCCAGATAACATGAAAAACCAGGACGGAAAACACTTATGAAGGGACTCAGATCCTCTATCTTCTGGCTCAAAGTCAGAAACCTCATCTATTACTTTGCTTTCAGACATTACTACAACTATGTTACATTCAAAAGCTCTGTTAATGAACAAGGCGCGCTCAATTACCCGATCCAAAATCAGGTGCCCTATGTATCGGACCGTAAAAAACAGCTTGCAAATGATATAAACACAACTGCCAAAGAACCAAGAAGGGACTAAGGTCCTTAGTCTTCAGATCCGAAGTCAGGAATTTATCCATTAGGTGCCCTTCATATTAGGTCACATCATACGACTGAATTGCTTTATTCTCATAAACAAAACGTTCCAAGTGCTTTGTCGGGTTTCTTTTGAGGAAACAGCTACCAGGTCATATTAGCAAGCACCAGATTTAAAGAAAGTTAGTATTTAGAAAATACAGCAAGATACATTAACAAGCACCTCCATGAAACACCCTTGAAGGTTCTCCAACACTAAATCTGAAGATCAGGGCCGCGTTTGAATAGTGTTTTTTTGTCTCGGAAAGTGGCTAACTTCTAGAAAATGAGCTGGAAGTATATACACGGCAGCCACGATAAGTGTATTCGAATTTTGTAAATGTAAAGGGAAGGTTCTTCAATACTTCCTAACGTATCACCTTTGACATAGGGTACACAAAAGCATTCTTAATAAAAAACAAAGGTGATAACGCCATCCAGCCATTCAGTGTGGCAGAACCATTCAAAGTGACGACCATCCATACGGGCAATCACAAAAAACAAAGGAACGGATGGGCAAGAATGGCATGATCAAGTTGGCCAGTAAATGCATTCGGATTGTCTTAGCATCACGGTTGTCTTCCTTAGCCGTTATGAATTCCCCTTTACACCTCTCCTTTACCTCATGACGTTATCCAATCGAGGTTGAAGAAACCTTTCTGGACATTAGAGCATATGACGTCTTTTTTGACTATTCAAATTCTGCAGCGAAGTTATATAACTTATCCTTTATTTGCCATATGTATTAGGTCACATGGTCAGGTTGAGTTATACTAGTCCTTTAATTGAAGCCTCATGTTTTTACAGGTTAATTTTTAGAAGCAGCTGGCTACTTTTAAAATGCACACGCTCTAAAGTATTGTTAAGGGTCTCTTTAATGTTCTGAACCAAGGACTGACACCTTATCCATTCGATCGCACAGTCAGTTTCCATTATATCAGCTCCATAGAATTAAAAACAGTTAAATGGACGATGTCATAGAGTTGTTGGGGTCTCAAGGGAGCTTAAAATGGCCACCGTTATAGGTAAGAAAGTATTCCTATTGTGACACCTGAAAGGGAAGATCATAGAATTCCACAAAGGTTGGGTAGCGTATACAAGCAGCAAAGGTAGTTTCACTCAAGTCTGCCCACACTTTGATGCAATTGTCAATGCCCTTTTACTACAGTGTTTGAATTGTATGGACAGCTTAAGAGAGTGTCAGCAGACTTTTATAGTACTATCTTGAATTCACTATCGCTACAATAGGGACTTTAAGCAACGGCGGATTTTTGCGACGGCCACGGCACCGGATAAAGGTCTGCGCTCCGCTGATCGAGACTTAAGCCGTTGTGCGGCGTTCCTTGCCGAAAGCAGGCTGATCTACTACGGGGAAAGAACCAATCTCACGTAGTCACTACAACGCTTGGTTCAGATGATTGAATTTAATGGTTTTCATTGTATTTTTGAAATGAAATGTTTTCTATAATTGATTGTGACACACTAAACATTATCCCCGAATTCATAAAGGGTGTTTTTCCCTTGATCACGGTTAACTTGGCTAAACAGTGTATAAACAGGTGATGATCGAGCGGACAAATTTAGGCCCGAATTCATAAAGAGAGATCAGATCAGCTGCTGTTTATCCAACGTACATGGTTAGTCACACCTGTCTAAGTAACAAAAAAGAAATTCTAATCGTCCCAAGGGGCTTGTTTATCTCGTGTACAAGCTACCAATTCTCTGTTGGCTTGCTTGTGTGGCGGACATATGACCATGGATCTCTTTGCGATAATTGAAATAGCCTAGGAAGAGATGGCTGACCAAAGGCAAGATGCGAATTGAGGGCTCTCAAAGACAGGACGAATCCTTTAGAAGAGTATAGCGACATGAAATTTGTCAAGCGATACAGAATTTCCAAAGAATCATACCGTTATATTCTAGACCTAATCGAAGCAGACATTGACCATCCCACAAGATTTAAACCACGCCTTTCTTCCAGTACACCAACTATGTATTGCCCTGCGCTTTTATGCATGCGGTGCATTCCAAATGGTTGTCGGTGACACGTGTGGTGTATCACAGGCTACCTGCTGTCGAGTAGTTTGCCGTGTTACCGAGGCAATATGTGCCAGGAAAAACCGCTTCATACCATGCAGAGTGTCACATGACACCACTACACATCGGCTAAGTGGGGACTTGTACACGGATGGGTAAACACCCGATTATGTTCTACCTGAATTGCGCTAGTAACAGGAGTTTATCCTCACGCGCTTTTTCTGTTTAAGCCACCCGTACAGTAGTTGTACATGACTAAAATAATGGGGTGATCATCACCCTTTATGAATTCGGGCATATGTATTTCAGCGAACCTTTCTCACAGATACAGGATACTATGTAAATTTCAATGAATAAAACCATAGTGAACTATTTTTTCTGCTGTGGGCTATATTCTGCCCTCATCCTTGCATGGCATACGGTACTTAATTTCTCTGTATACCCTATTGATATCTATTTTTATTCCCATGTACATTAGTCTTTATTCTACTGCTGTGCATATAAAGCACACATATGCTGTATATAGATGCACACTCCCATGCACTTTACCATTCGTTCACACTCTGATTAGATGTGTGCTTTAATTGTCAAATTTTATGTCTTTTTATAATTGAATTGTTCAAAATAAAGTTTGTTAAAAAGATGCACATTTCTTTTCGTTATGCTCTGTACCTGTACTTGGCATAATGACAACAAATTTGAATATTTTAATCTAATATTAAGAGTTTCCCATTTCCCTAAAGCTATGACATCTGCCCCTTTTGCCAGTGGGAGTGGGACAAATCAGCGCTCACAGTTACAATTACTGTTCACACTGAACTAACTACTTTGCTAACAAACTTTGATCAAAATCCACCGTTGTTTAAAGTCCCTGCTGGATTTGACAGTGACAGCACCAGGAGAAATTTATTTCCGGGTGCCATAGGCGTGACAAAATCCGCCATTGCTGAAAGTCCCTATTAAATACACCACTGCAACCACGAAGGACTCGAACCCTCAGTCTTCTGATCCGAAGTCAGACGCCTTATCCATTAGGCCACGTGGTCATTGCATGCCTAAACTGACTCGAACAGTGAGCTGTGAGAACTGACAGCGGTTCATAAATGCCATGTCAAATAACCGCTGTCATGTTAAATTAAACAGCCCTGTCACTGAAAAACTCTCATGCTCAATCACTCTCCAGATCCAAACTCAGGTGTTTTTAGACCGTATGGTCAGGATGAGCAATGTTAGCCCCCTGACTGAAGTTTGAGAGTTTTTTTTCTCAGGTTTCAGTGTAAGTAACAGCAGCAAGATTATGTTAAAAACACCTCCGTCACACAACTATGAACGGACTCAAGTCCTCAATCTTTTGATCCGGAGTAAGAATCCTCCTCCATTAGGCGCCCTTTCATATTAGGTGACATCATTGGGTTGACTTATGTTATTCCCATAAACAAAGCCTTGTGAGTGTTAGTTTCAGGTTTCTGTTGCAGAAACGGTGACCAAGTCATGTTAACAAGCACCAGCTTAAAAGAAAGTTTTTTGTCCGAGAAACAGCTGGAAAGTGACATTAACAAGCAGCACCACTAAACATCCATGAATGGTCTCCAACTGTCATTCTTAATACTTGAGTCGGCTAACTTATCCAATATTTGCCCGATGTATTAGTTCACATGGTCAGGTTGAGTTTTGCTTGTCCCTTGACAGTAGTTTTGTGAGTTTTGTCAAGCTTCTCTCTAAAACCACAGCCAGATAACATGAAAAACCAGGACCGGAAAAACACTTATGAAGGGACTCAGATCCTCTATCTTCTGGCTCAAAGTCAGAAACCTCATCTATTACTTTGCTTTCAGACATTACTACAACTATGTTACATTCAAAAGCTCTGTTAATGAACAAGGCGCGCTCAATTACCCGATCCAAAATCAGGTGCCCTATGTATCGGACCGTAAAAAACAGCTTGCAAATGATATAAACACAACTGCCAAAGAACCAAGAAGGGACTA